AGCTTCTCTTCTTTCTACATCTCTCCTCTCTGCTTACACTTCATTCATCCCTTCACCCGTCCAATGCTCATCTAACCACATAAAGCTGTGGAATTAGTTTGCCAGCCTCTCAGCCTTCAAGGGTTGTACCCCTAAGCCCCAACTGCCAGTTTGTGTTTTGTTCAATATGGGCAGCCAGAAGTGTGAGGCCGTGCACTGGAAGCCGTCGGGGGCTGCCCCCACAGGCTCTGCACTTGATCAGTCTCTGGGTAATGTCATGGCCACTTCCAGCCTACAAAATAGCTGCAGAACTCCACCTTCACAAGAGCTACGATGGCGCAACTCGGTTGATTCCACAGCAACAGCGGTGACTTAAACATGTTTAAACTAAGACTTTAGATAATTTCCAATGTTGGGAATGATTTTTGAGTGGGCTGCTTAAGATCCTTTTCAGCACATAAAATCCACGTCTATCTTTAAAAGGTACTTTTTAAAAGGTCATAAGGAATTGCAATAGTGTGAGTTATAAAAAGGTAGACAGGCAGGAGTACTAAAAGGGATGAAGTAAAAAATACAAGGATTTTACTGAAAAAAAAAAATCGTATAAATGGTCTTTTGTTGAATTAAACTAAATATATAAAGAACCTGCCAGTTTAATACATCGTGCCTGTTACCAAATCCTAAAGTTTAACCAGCATGTAAACAAAGAGATAACCACTACAGCCCCAATAAATAATCAATGAGTAAGTCCCTAAGCTTCATCCTGAGCTATTATCATCAAAAACAAAGTGTCTGTAGCCAAGAAATCACCATATCAATGGCACATGCCACAACAACCCTTCCCCACGCTTTCCTTCCAAAGATCATGCTAGATAAACCCCAAATAACAGAGAAATTAACAAATGCTTGACATTTGCTCAACATCCATTATTCTGACACTTCTTCAGAATTTCAAAAGGCTGAACGCATGCTTAATCAACATTCATATTCCCAGAGCGAGCTCCAGCACCATATTGCAGCCCGCCTTAGTGCTGATGAAAACGGCACATTAGGGCCCGATTCGAAAAACGTTCAGGGAGTCCTCACCAGGGAGCTGCGTGTGCATGTGTGTGTGTGTGTGTGTGTGTGTGTGTGTGTGTGTGTGTGTGAGAGAGAGAATAAAAGAGAAAAGAGGCACTGGCAGTGTTTAGAGGGGAGGGATGCTTCACACTTTACTGTTTAAGTATTTTCCAAAACAGAGGCATCTGCCCTTTTTTGCTCACCCTCCTACTTTCATGAAAGCCATATGAGGAGTGAGCTGAATGGCATTTTAAAGAGGGAGGGGGGGATCATTACATCCAAATTCATTCATAATATAGCACAGAAGGACACAGAGGACTCTCACATTCCCTCCCTCTTTATCTTGCCCTCCTTGCACCGACTCTCTCGGGGGACAAACGGTGGAGGGACTGGGGTCCCCTCTAGACCCAAGGGAAGCCAGGCAAGGCCTTAGAGAGCAGCCCATCATTTCCAATTCTAATATGTGGCAAGAGAAGGACCTGATGGGACTGATGTCACATTTTTCCCCGCACCGGCCTGCGATGAGCCCTCTCGCCCCCCCTTTGCTGCCTAGCCACAGTCCAGATACTAGACAGGACACCACGACTGACTAAGAGGAGGACAGGGAAGATAGGGCAAGAATGGGGGTTGATATTTGCATGTCCCTCCATTGTGAGTGGGGGTAAAAAGTGACAGCACCGTGTCCAATTCTTTTCCCCCCAGAGCAGCTCGGGCCCAGCAAGAGAGGCCAGGCTGACAGATGACTCCCAACATCTGTGTTATGCAGCCGTTACAGATGAGGGACTCCACATCGCAATCTCTCTCTTTCTATCTGTCTATAGGACACTCCCTCTCTCCTCCCACTAACCCTTTTCATAGCGCAACCCAAAGACTGACAGACCGTCCGTGGAAATTACCTTGAAATGGTCTATAACAGTCATGTTGTTTAAAGTTTTAAATTTCCTCTTTGTGAGCCCCCAATCAAAAGCAATGACTGCGAAATGATTTTGAACTCACAGCATTTAGAGATTTGAGTAGAACGATTATAATGAATTTTAAGTGTTTAAATATTTCATAACATAGTCAGGTCAATTTTATTTATACAGCCTAATATCAGAAATCCCTAAAGTGAATGTGTCTGAAGAAAAAGTGCCCAAAAAGACTCTCCCCCCTTTTTTTTAAATACAGACTCACAATTTTTAAGAAACAGAATTTAAAAATAGCAACAGTAGGACCATTCTTTTTGCTAAATTTAAATAAGGATGAGATTAAAAACACTTTTTGATATCAATACATATCACAATACAGAATATCGAACATTTTGTATATTGTTGGAATGCATAAATTGGTGTACAACATCTGACAAATGCACCCGTAATACACAAATTTTACGATTACCTTTTAACCGGAATTTGGTCAGAAACATTGATTTAGTCAGAGGAGAGTTAGTGAAATGGCTGCACGTTACGATTACACCTTTTACACCTTTAACACATAATACAGAATTACAGTCCAGTCCTAGTTGTAACTAAATACTATCAGCATGCATTTCCATGTATTACCTGGGCAACGTTCTCATGCATGACCTGGACAGGTGTTAATTTGCTTTTAAAGAAAACTATACATATATAATAAAATGACCACTTAAGAAGATAATAAACATCATGATACTGGTAGACAACACATGAATCTACAGTTCACTCAACACCATTTGCATCATTTGGAAATGACCTTGTGCAATGCGAAATGATTTATTATCTAGATACCTGTATTTTCTATTAGAACCAAACCATTCTTTTGCCCATCAATTCATTGCAGCCTTGTCCACAACAACCCCCCCCCCCTCCCGAACTCCACCCCTGCCAGCCCCAGCCTGGCCAATATTTACGCAGTGGCAGGGCTCCCACACAGTCCGAGGGGACAGGAGGGGTGTGGGGCGGGGGTGGCTGACTGCTGTGCCTGAGCGCATGCTAAGAGATGATGGATGGCCTAGTCGATATGTTATGTCTTAAGAGCCTGATTTCCTGCCAGTCCAATCACTAACCCTCCAGAGCCCAGCTCAGCTGATTGGACAACCAGAATAATTTCGCAGGCTGTGAAAACACTGCTGCCGTGCCTGTCTGTCAGGCCCAGTGACGAGACTCAGGGATTTTAAAGAGCAAGGGCCTCCCCAAGATTGGTTATGGTGAACGAAATAATAACAATAACCAGCAAGACTAAACAAAAGAGCAAGCACCTCTGAGAGAGAGAGAGGGAGAGAGAGATCGTGAAGAACTATTGGAATGAAAACGGCCCTATGTTTTCCTTTAATTATTATACCCAGCAGTACTACTAAAAAAAATGGCATTTGGACTGTTTGATAAAGACAGCTTGGGTTAGCGAACCAAAAGGAAAAAGGTAAACTCAAAATAAATATAAAAAGGACCTCCTAGTGTCGGTGGCTAAACATGAAGGATATTGGATGCACTTTATACGCATGACATATTCTTTAAAATGCTGACGGTGAGAACAAAGGCGAGCTGAAGCTCCACTGCGTCCCCTTTGGGGACCTGATACCTTCTTCTAGATTGGTGATTAGGGCACAATGGAAGTAGGAAGCTCCAAATACATGCGACTTTGTAAGTGACCTCGACGGGATCAGCCATGGTGTCCTGGTGGCCTTGGGGGATTACACATGTTACATTCAATAAAGTGAGGGCCCTCAGTGTCAAGGAGAAAGGCAAACACAACCATTAACCTCTCTCTTCGATTTCTGGATGTGCAGCCGCTGCATGGCAAAACATTGGCTAATTCTGTGGTGGAAACCAATACAGAAACCTGTGTGGAATTAATTAGTGATCATAACAAATGAATGTTTCATAATAGAAAATAAAATTGAGACAGCGGAGTAAATGCTGCTGGGATGGGGAGTTAAATCCAGATGGTTAAGCCATCATTGAATTTATCTTAATGTGGTTTTAGGCATATGAATAATTTCCTATAATCAAAACTAGGGATACAGATTATATCATTGCAGCATTGACATCATGTGTAATAGTCACATTTCAGGAAGTTCAGTGTGAAGGAAGGCAAATTAACTCAACCACATCACGATACAACTTTTTTTTGCTGCTTGATACAACTCACACGATTCTCATTTTCAATGACTAATCTGGCAGAGAAATCTGTCTCCAATTTGAGAGTTCTTGATTACACTGAGGTTTGTTTTTTAAATTTATTTACAAGACAAAACTTGTTGACATGCAGGCTCCACATGTGCGCAGCAAAATGAGCGTGGAATGGGAGACAAACACTGAAAAGGAAAATTTGGTTGTACAAAGAAACAGATCACCAGCTGTATAGGAATACATCAGCTACAGTTAGGATGAGGAACAAAATCCGGTAATCTGTTGGCAGTGTCTTTAAGGTGTTGCCACTAAAACACAACTAATTTATTTGACCATTTAAATCAGGATCACAAAGTTCTGTTTGATGAGGGGAAAAGCCAGACCTGAATAGCCATCCAAAGCAAAAGACTGTTCTGAATGTGAGTGTAACATCATATGAGAAAGGCTCCAAATGGTCTTTTTTTCAGCTTTTTGCAGATGCACTCAGCTACAAAATCATCCAAATTGATCAACAGGGTAGGATGTTTTTTTCTTCCAAATATAGTTTTTCCAAGTCATCTGTTGACAATTCTTGTGTTTTTCACATCACAGGCTATTTTGCAGAAAAACAAAATATAGCATATATAAAATATGTTATCTTTTTATCTTTTTCCAACATCGTGCAGCAGGAATCTCAACACATCTTGTCTCTCATATTTTAGACACAGTTTCATATATTATTGTGAAAGATACTAATTTTGTTTTCACCTTCTGTGACACACACACACACACACACACACACACACACACACACACACACACACAGACACAGTAGAGTACCTATTAACAATTCGTACTTATAAAGGAAGGAATGCAGTCCACTGTGTAACCACTTACTTTGGAAATCTGTCCTTCAGCATCTTCATACACTGGCGGGTAGGTCTGAGTTGTTCAGTCCATCTCACAATCTCTTTATATTCAGCTCGGGACAGTCTCATGTTTGAATAACTGCTGTATCTATTTGCACAAACATGGAAGGACAGTTTGATTAACACACGCAGCAATATGATTCTGGGAGGCAAACAACGTGTCAGGTGACTGACAGCTGTCAAAATCAGCTGTCGTCTACCTGCATTGCTAACTGAACTTAGCTTTACGTTGCGACGCGGCGCACTAAACGCAAAGAAATAAAGCATTTAGTGTCATCTCCGAGGAGTCCGTGCATGCTTATTGTATATAACATGCAATCAAGAATGATTCCATGACAATCATAACACGTAAAAGGGATTGTTTACCCTCGATTCCTGCTGCTCGTGGACAGTTCCCGATCGCCGCTTCCCGCTAGGAAGTTGAAGAGAAGACTTTTGTGTGAACAGCGCGCTGATTGGTCGATTCGTCCATGCAGCTGAGTATACCGGCCCATGATTGGCTACTTGGCAGCACAAAAGGCGGGGCTCAGCCAAGACGTGTTGCTCACTGCACCTCCGGACTCTGTTCAGCTGCCAGCGCCACAGCGGTCCAGAAAGTAGGTATTAGTAATGAAAAGACAGCCAACAGGGAGGAAAATAACTCTGAAATACACACACGCCGTGCAGTCAGGGAAAACGGGAAAGAAGCAACAGAGAGTGTGAGGGAGAAAGGAGGGAACGCCTTCCGTCTGTGAATTACAGTTTAGCAAATGGTATGACAGAGTTATACATTTTTATTTATAGTTGTGGTTCTACGCTCACATTTGTTGCTCTTATTGAGGATGACAGCAGAAACAATATGTCGAACATAGGCTGCCTGTGGCCCAATGCCGACCACTTCCGAGGATGCTGCCCTTTTACTGCAATCCCCTCAGCTTTGACCAGAACATTTATTTAGTCCCGTGACCTACAGGCACAAGCTTTAGATAGAAATTTAAAACAAACTGAATGTTTAAAATGGGCTATATATTCCCCTGGCAGTGCTGCAGGTTGTGACAGCATCAGTGCCTTTCTCTTCACACTTCTGCTTTATTTAATTTTAAATAAGAAATTGCAAGAAATAAGGAGAAAAAAAGAAGTAAAATCTCAGCAGAGACATCATTACACTCCACCTCTAAACAGCAGCATCCCTGTTCGAGCTATTCTTAATTCCATCTGTAAAGCAATAATTAGCTTCCATGCAGAGTGCAGCGATTGTAATTAAAATGTATGCTGTATATTCTCACCTTTGAGAACGGTTAAATCCAGGGCGTAGCTAAGTGTTCTGCTTTTCTGATTCTTGTTAAGTAATTCCTAGAACCTACAGGAGGTGTTGTGGGTTTTCCTCAGCCATGTGCACCCACAATCAGCCACACCTTTCACCTCACCAATGATGAAAGCGCTTTAAATGATTTCAACAAGCATATAGAATAAAAGATGATAGTACACTAAAGCAGTAGAAAAGACTCAGATGATTTATAAAACATCCAAGAATGATGCTGAATTTACAGAATAAACATTTGCTTTGCCCACAGCTTTGTAACTCCAAACTGCTTGCCTTTCATTAGAAATAGATATCCAACAGTTACAAATGCATTTATATATTTATTTTTATTGCCTCTAGCTGGAGTGTTGATTTTAGACCACACTAGGCTTGGACTAATTCTTTAAGACCTAATTTGTCAAATACATCCCTTGAGATCAATAAAATTTTACAATGGCATTATTGCGTAATTAGTCTCTGAACAGCGCTAAATCTCAATCCTTAATAGATTTTTTTCTCTATAATGTTTTCTCTTTAGATACAAATCAAGAGGGAGTCCTACTTTTTTTTTTCCATTTTCTTTTTTGCAAAAACAAGATAATAGTCGCCACAAATAATTAGCCTTAAAATGTGTGATCTAAACTCAAATTGGCATCATTGTCTGCAAGCCTGTTTGACAATATCAAATAATTCAGTGGTGGCGTCAAACATTCTTGTGGTTTTCTCCATTGTGAGTGGACAATGCATCGGTGAGCAGAAAGGCTCTATCTGACCTGTGCCTGAGTCAGAAAATAGAGCTCATTGTTGTTGGGCAGTGTAGTATGATGTCTGAGATGAGCTGAGGTCTCGGGCCGTGTGTTCATCGGCACAGTCCCTGGGTCTGAAAGGGCTCAGCGCTCTGTGGTTGCTACAAAAGGGAGCTGTGTAGTGGGATTGGTATGGCCAGATAAGATCAGGGCCTCTGAGGAAGTCTGGTCTGATTGCTACAAAGGGCTGAGGTCAGGGGCAGGAGGAGCAGTTTACTCATCTAGGTATCAGAGGATCAGGGGTTTTGGTGGGGAGCCGCGTGTGTAATAGGTATAAAAGGATCAGTGTAATGTGATGGTATAAAAAGATAAAAATCAGAGCAGGGGTTGGAAGGCTGTGTGCTGTAATGGTTCCAAAAGCTAAGGGATCAGAGATTTTGTTGTGTGTAGGTGTCTACCAATGTGAGCACATGTGCTCCTGTGTGTGTGTGTGTGTGTGTGTGTGTGTGTGTGTGTGTGTGTGTGTGTGTGCATGGAATAAGTTTGTGTCTGTGTGCATCTTTGATGGCTACGAGAGTCACAGTGGGCTGTGATGAGAGCTGAAGGAGAGAGCGAGGCGATGGAGGGGATACAGGGAAAGGATGCAGGGGGAAAGATGAGTGCTTTGGAGGCTGCGTGTAAACAGGGCAGTGGTACACCCAGTGCCGTTAACCAGCTGTGAAGCCTGCTCACAGTAGGAGATGAATTTACAAAGGATGTCTCCCTCTGATATCCAGGAGATGCTGCACTGATCTCTGCTCCACTGCTCTCGGCACACCATTGTAGTGCTAAGCACTGTGCCACTAATGGCACTTATATACCTTAATGCCTGGAAAACATTTACATTTTGCTTGCAGCAGAGGTGAAGTGTGTGGCTGTGGAGAGGGAGAAAATGTGTGCGTGTGTGAGAAATTGTTTTTTTTATCAACAGTATCTTCAGTCGATGAATTTAAGATTTGTGAGGCTGTATAATTTCCTTTACTCATCACGCAGTTTAAGGAAATTGCGAGCCCTCCCATGTCTTGCACATTAGTCCCTCCTTACCATATCCAGTGATATTACTCACCATACAAAGAGAGCATTTTGTTACACTAGATCGTCAGCATTACTGTCATAATCGTTCCTTTTTTTCTATTTGTGAAGTCAGTGACTTCACTCCTCTGCACCACAGAATTGCTCTCCAATCTTCAGGGAGTCTGAGATCTCTGTTCTAAAAATCACAGTTTAAACATGAGGCAAACCATAACCAGGAAATGCCTGTAGTATTAGCAAGGTATCGGATTCATACATTCCCCCTGTACAGCATGACTGCCCCTGAAAATCCCACATCCATATTTTACATCACGGAAGACAAGACACATGTGCTTCACCCCAGCTTTCAAAGCTGTTTCTTCCATTTATTTTATTATCCTTTAATGAATTTAATTAGAGGACATGTAATTAAATGCAATTGTGCTCACCCCTCTAACATACACACACGTATGTACGTGCAAACACACACGCTCAAAACATGTGCAATGTGAGCAAATTTACTGGATTAATAGGGGATTGATAATATTTTGGGATTGTATTTCACTCTAAACGGCTGCATGCGGAAACAAAGGCTGCAGCCCAAGCTCATTAATCATAGTCAACGGGTTGCCTGGGTGCAATTTGCATGACCGAGGTGGCTGCACATGCTGCCGTTCGGCCTAGGTTGCTGGATCTGCCTCGATTTGGCCAGGCCGTTAACGCTGTGTCAATCAAGGATAACCCAATAACAGTATGACAGTGGAAGAGGGAAAAAAACATTTTCTTCTCATTACCCAACACTCCTTCCCCTGCCTCCCCTCCCCCTTCTGCCCAACTTCTTTTTTTAGTTCAGACTAATTATACTGGCCTGATGAAAAATGAAACCTCTCTGTTACGTTTATTACTAAAAGTATAAATTCATGATTTTTTAAAAAGAATTATGTGCTTTTTAAAAATGGGAATATTTAAAATATTTCTGCCATATAAATGTGCTTTTAAGGTATACTAATGGATGCCTAAATGTAATAACATTTGATCTAAATGATACATGCATTTTTTACTGCAAATAAAGGTCTAGCATTTTGGCTTTTTTTTTTTTTTGTCTTTTTTGAGAAAGTAATTACTTTTTATCTATAAAGGAAACTTTTTGGTTTGTCTGTATTTTTGTCAGTCACAGTTTGGAGCCTCACTAAGCCATTTTAACTGCGGATAATTGGGTTGAGGCGTGATGCAGTGAAGTTCAAAATGAAGCACAATTTCACAAAGCTGTAATCTCACCACTGGCTCCATACACTGAATTCTAATTATCTCGTCATGAACTTTAAAAAAAAAAAAGAAAAAAAAGGCAATTTTTAATTTTTTTTTTTAAAAACTCCATAAAAGGTGTGTGTGTGTGTGTGTGTGTCTTTGTGTACATGCGTGGGTGTGTGTCTGAAATAGACGCTGATGTGTGCGTGCTTGCGTGTTTTGTGTGTGTCGGGCGCGCTCACAGAGAGAGACACCCACCATCGCCACACACAGACATGTGAATGCGGCTTGTGTCTGGTCTGGCCTCTCTACCTAGCTCTGCTGCCGAGGCTCACGCTGTGCTCTCCCCCCATCCCCTAATATCCTGGAGGCATTTTTCTCATTATCAAATATTGTTTGATGTCTTTGTTTCTTGATGATTAACCATGGTCACCAAACACTGGTCTGGATTGTTTAAAATTTAATTTTGGGGGCTCTGAAGTACCTGCAGAGGGGCCGACTGGTGGGGACACCCGTATTTTATGTATGCTATTTTTCACGCTGAAATGCAAGAGGACACACATTTGAAAAACACAATAAATCCTGGAGGAGAATCATTAGTGGAATACTAGTGGTTTTTATGACCATTGTTATTCAATGCTGTATTGAGATGCAATAAATTATTCTGTTTATTATGGGTTTATGGATTCAGTCCAATTTTCAGAATAATTATGTTGTTCCTCATTCTGCATAAATAAAACAACTCTCTATATATTTTAAACTGCGATTCAACTAAAATGTTAATATTACATATGTACAGTGTAAATGTGTATTTTTAAATGGTAGCAGTTGAAAAAAATAAAATCTTTTGCATATTATTCTTGTTTTCACTTTACTGACCATATATAGATATAGATATATATATAAAGCCGTGGTAATTTGAACATCATAAAGACAAACATCTTGCCTTAGGAATCCAAGATTTATGATGAAATCAACATTGTAAGCAAACAAATAGGGAAACAACGCTCTCCCCTAATGTCAGCATGTCAAAACTATATTGAATACTTGAAATATCTGTGTATCTGAGGCTGAATAGCAGCCATTGTATCGGTCTAATGATATTATCCTC